GGTGCAGTGGATATTTGTCTCCATCAAATAGGGGGAGATTGAAGCACTTGGTGGATTTGATGAAGACATATTCGAGTTGATATAGTGTAGTTTGTGGGTGTGTAGATGAATAGGTTAGAAGTTTAGAACTTAATCTCTTGATAGGCCAATAAATCTTGTGATAAGCGCCTTAAAATGATGCATCTCATTGAAATCATTTTTCTGCATGAAAAACTAACATTTAAGCATTAAAAGAACAAACTAAGTTTTTCAATCTGTTGAAAAGAAATTTCAATCTGTTAAAATCACTTAACATAAGAAGTGGTCATATATAGTCGAAATTTTCAATTGGATAAATCGCAGAATCAACAGGTTAAAATGTCTTAATGATTTTTCATGTATTAAAGGTTTCGCATTTTCAATCTGTTGAAATGTTTTTTAAATTGTTGAAACAGAGAGACTATTTTTTCAGTCTAAGTGTTTTTCAAAACTTCAATCTGTTGAAATACTTTTCAATCTGTTAAAACAGAGAGACTATTTTTCTGACTAAGAGTCTACAGGATTTCAATCTGTTGAAAGGTTTTTTAATCGATTGAAACAGAGAGCTGTCATTCTTCATTAAGCTATTTCAATCCATTGAAAACACGAATCAATCGATTGAATGAAGTTTTAAATGAAATCAATCGATTGAAACGTCGTCTTAATCGATTGAAATACATTCTGATCGATCATAATTTGATTCTGATCGATCATAACTTGTTCTAATTGATCATAATTTAATTCTGATCGATCATAACTTTTTCTAATCGGTCATAATGCAATTCTGATCGATCATTTGCGTCTCTGAATCAGTTTTTAATAGATCAAACATTCTGGTTCTCTCTTTTACTCTATAAATACAGATTTGATCTATCTTTTGAAATATACAATTTGAGAAAACATTTGAAAGCAATCTTTGAGCTATCACATCCGTGACTTTCTCTGTGCATTCAAGAACTTTTCATATCATAAGGTGCTTTGATCAAGATTGTTGTTAATCAAAGAGAGAAAGTGCTGAGTTAGAATTGCTTCTGGACAATTGTACTGATAAAGCTTCAATCCAGGTTTTTTCTTTTCATACTCTTGTGTAAAGTGTGGTTGTGCAGGTTGGATTTTGGATCTGCACGTGTTACAGTAACTGGATTTGGTTACTGGGAGGTTTTCAAGATTCTATCTTGTGGGGTTTGTAAGATAGTTCTTGGGGTAGATTGGTGAGTATCTACTGGTTGTAATTTTCACTGGAATTAGTGGAACTTGGAAGATTTGTCAAGAACTGGATGTAGCTCTGGTAAAGAGTGAACCAGTATAAATTGTTGTGTTGAATTTCTTCTTTCATCTCTTTTATTTCTTGTCTATATACTTGCTATGATTAAAATCAAACCTACCTACACAAGAATTAAATAAAGATAATTCATTCTACAAAGAGAAAGTAAGGTTTGCGAAAATGTTTTCTAAAGTTCAATTCACCCCCCCTCTTGAACTCAACCATTAATTCTTTCAATAAACACACAGAATTGTTGGTAAAAGTAACAACACAATCAAGAGAACGAGTTAGACGAATGATGGACAACAGGTTAAAAGGAGACCCAGGGACATAAAGAACATTATCAATGGTTAAAGAAGGAAAAAGTTTAACCGTTCCAACACCATGAGATGATACTCTAGAGCCATCAGCTAGTGTAACAGAAGGTAAATGATTAAGAAAGGATAAAGAGGAGAACAAAGATTTGTTACTTGTAATATGATCAGTGGCTCCCGAATCAAAAACCCAAGGACCAGGAGAAAATGACTGGGTCAGACCAGCAAAATATGTATTTGTATGTGTGACAGATATAGTGGAACTAGAAGATTGTTGATTCTTATACCATTCGAGAAATTTGTTGAACATAGCAGGCATGTCAGATGCAACAGAAGAAGGAAGATCCCCTGCAGATAAAGATGGAGAAAGATTGGTCTGAACAACTATAGCAGATTGAGGAGGACGACCATGTAATGTATAACACTTGTTAATCTTGTTACCTAGCTTGCCACAATGTTCACACTTAGGACGCCCTTTTTCCTGTTTGCAAGGGTGAACCCAGTCATCACGATGGGATGTTAACACAAAAGAATCGTTAACAAAATTGGAAATAGTGGAAGAAGTCATGAAAAGCGGGAGAACAAACCCTAAAACAATCCAAAGTAATCCAATTAACCCACGAAGCACAAATCCAAAATGAGAATACTAAAAATAAGTTCGCCAAGACTAAAACAGCGCAGGAGACAATGGGACGACCAACTCCGATAGTGGTGATCTCAATGGCACGGTGGTCACCTGACCGAGACAAGCAAAATCATATGTCACCGGTTAAAAAAAAATGAAACTTCGGCGAATTCTCCGGCAGCGGCGGATCCGGTGACTGCTCCAGCGGCAGCGGTGACAGCAACGTGAACTAGTACACCAGGTAAGTTCTCAGGAAAGAGAGGTGAATCACTAATGGACACACTTAAATACCAAGTCTTTCCTTGCCAGAACTTTCCTAAACATGCACTTTCACACTACCAAATAAAATTCAGTGACAAAGATAATTCTTTTCTGATGTGGAGGATCAGTTTACCAGCAGCGGTTGGGCGGCTCCAACAGTGGACAAAAGACGGAAAAAAAATTCAAGATAACCTTAAGCTCTAGATACCATGTTGAATATAGAGAAAAATAGGGTTTGGAATTAATTTCCCTTGTGTATAAATTGTTGAAAGTCCCACATCGCCTACCTCATGTCATTTGGTATGGTTTAAATACATGTTAGGCTACTCCACATATTGCCAATTGATTTTATGTTGGAACCTTAACATGGTATCAGAGCCAAAGCCTAGCATATTTCTGGTTATTGTCATGGGCCAAAAGTTGCCCTTTAGTTGGGTCAAAAGTACCCTTTGCCTGGTCCGACAGGCTTCGTTGGAGGCGGTGTGTGGAAAGTCCCACATCGCCTACCTCATGTCATTTGGTATGGTTTAAATACATGTTAGGCTACTCCACATATTTCCAATTGGTTTTATGTTGGAACCTTAACAATTGTGAAAAGATTTTTTGAGGTTTTTCTATTTTTATCTGTTGTATGGTTATGCTATGCAATCAATCAAATGTAGCAAACAAACGCACACACAATTCACTCATCCGCGAACAAGTAGGACGACGTTTTTAATTACGAGGTAGGGTTTTCCTGCAGAAAAGTACTTATTCAGGGTAGTTATAAATTTCCTCACCAAGGCCAGGCTGTAAGAATTAATGGTTGAGTTCAAGAGGGGGTTGAATTGAACTTTGAATCCTTTTTCAAAAAACGCTTTCTTTGTGGAAGAATGATTAATCTTTATCCAATCTTTTATTAGGCAGATTTGGTTTTTAACAAAGCAAGAATATAAACCAGAAATGAAAAGAGATAAATGCAGAAATACAACACAAGAGTTTTATACTGGTTCACTCTTCCCAAGAGCTACATCTAGTTCTTGACAAATCTGTCAAGTTCCACTAATACCAAGTGAAAATACAAACCAGTAGATACAAACCAATCTACCCCAAGATCTACCTTACAACACCACAGGATAGACTCTTGAAAACCCACCTAGCAACCAAACCTAGTCGTTGTAACCAGTGCATATTCAAACCCAATCTACACAATTAAAATCCGTACAAGTATTGGAAAGAATAAACCTGGACAGTAGCTTTTGCAATACAGAAGTCCAAAAGCAAATTTTCTAACACAGAACTTTCTCTCTTGAAGATCTTTCAAAAATCTTGATCAAAGCGCCTTATGATATGAATGTGTATGAATGCTCATAAAAACACACGAATATGAGAGCTCCAAGATTACTTTTACACTACTAGAAAAATGATTAATAATGACTAAAATTAGTGACTGAAAAATTTAGTTACTGATAGTAACTGAATTAGTGAACGATTTCCCTTTTTATATTTAGTGACTAACATTTCAGTCACGAAAATTGATCACTGATTCGATCACCGAAACGGTCACTGATTCGGTCACTATTAGAAAAATAGTTAGTAGTGACCGAAATTAGTAACCAAAAAATTCAGCTTACTAATAGTAACTCGAATCGATGATCGCTTTTTCTTTTTATATTTAGTGACTGATTTAGAAACTAAAATTTCGAGTCACTAAACAAATAATCTCTAAATTGATGATTATTTTTCAATATATAAATATTTTTTAAAAATATTTTAATAATATATTAAATATAAATCTACTTAATAATTTAAAATAATTGATAACATTTTTAATAACATTATAAAAATTTACAAAAAATAGTTTACTAACTTATTAAATAATTTAGTAATATAATTATTTTATGATAAAAAAATATTTATTTTAAGCTTTTAAAAAAAAACAAAAAGAAAAAGAAAAAAATATATGATAAAAAAAAACATATATATAATTTCTCTTGTTAATATTTTACACCTTCAAGAAAAAAAAAGTAATAATTTTTTTTTAATAATTTCCATTTTCTATATATATATATATATATATATATATATATATATATATATATATATTATAGTATTGATCTTTTAAATAAATAGAAAAAAAAAGGTTTTTACTTGGTTTGAGGCCGACCCATGATATGTTTTTAACCTAATTATTAGGTTTAAATGGAGGGGGACGACACACAGAGGGGGAGCTCTTCTCTGGTTTCTTTTTCCTTTCTAATTTTCCAACCACCCTCCCTTGCTTCCCATTTTTTACCTTAGCCCTAACTCCATTTCCAACTGGCGCCTCCATTACATTTCCTCATCATTACTCCCTTGCCACCCCCATTGCACCCATCACCTCACTCTCCATCCACACTCACCTTAACACCCATAACCCATGGATCCCCACGCCTCACCTCAGGACCCATGACCCATGTATCCCCATTGCAGCCCACACCCAGCACCACCATAGCCCTCACCGGTGCCGGCTAGCACCCAAATCTTCCTCCCTTTTCTTTTATGCTTCACCTGTAGTCACTATGAACCGCTGCTCGGGGCCACTATGGTTGCACCACCACCGAGCCACTGTGCCTGACCCCTCACTGCCACTAACCCTACACCATCTAACCAGTCGCGACATGGCCAGTCGCCTTAAGTTGTTGCAGTTTCGCCACCTCTCCCTAGCCACCACCGTGGCACCCCACCAAATCCGCTTCTCCCCTCCCAAATCACCCTATCATGTCTTCTCCTTTTCCACCCTTCTTTCCTCTCCATTGCAAACTCTACTCTCATGGTCTCCACCCTCAACCCTAGCACCGTGGGGCACAACCCCCATCGCGGCCCATACTCGTCAGCACCACCGTGAGCCACTGCACCTCACCAATCGGCAACTATAAGCCAGATTCATGCCTAGTTGCGCCAAGCACTCATCGGTCACCCTCAAAGAAGTAGCGCACCACCGCAGAGCCTGGCCACGACTCGCCCCACGCTGGCCACCGCGAATCATCCCTGTCTCGCTTTGTCGCACCACTATTGACCAAAAAGGGGATGGCTGAATGCCTCTCCCTGTGAATTGTCGGGCAACGTGAAGCCTGTGGAGGAGATCAAGTGTCTCTCAAGTTTGCTCCTCTCTGATTTCTGCCTTTGTCTGTTATGTGTTTGTACATCTCTGTCTGGGATCATTTGTTTGCTCTCTCGTTTCCTTCTTGGTCTTGTTTGAATGAAGAGTTGACAGGGATCTCAGGTGGAAATCGAAGCCAGAGACATTATTTGAATGAGGAGTTGACAGGGATCTCAAGTGGAAATCAAAACCAGAGACATTATTGGGTACAAAGTTCTTTTTCTTTGCATTCTGTTGTTTGTGGTTTTACTTATGTTTGATTGCTAGCATTTGTGGGGAAAACTGATGTTGAGTTTATCGTTCTCAATTATTAATTGCTTCTGTCTGGGATTTGGATTGAGTTGGGTTTTTTTTTTTCTTATTGGTCATTTTGGACTGTTATTAAGGATTGTGGGTGTTGAAACATACAAGGACATGAATGTTGAACTTACATGGACATGAAGCTTGTTAATTTTGATGATGATTCAAGAACAAAGGACTCAGAGAGTTGAAGACTTGTATTCTTGTGTAATAACTCTGTTTTGATGATTTTGAGTCTGTAATATTAGAGTCTAAGGTAGCTAGCACATAGTCTACTCTTTAGAAACTTCAAAAACTCATTTTTATCAAAAACACACTGGTTCAATCGATTAAAAGGCAAGATAATCGATTATTACAGAGACAAAAACCATTTTTTGTATCAGCTCTCTGGACTAATCGATTAAAACTCTTGTTAATCGATTAACAGGGCTGTTAATTTGTTAACAGCCCAAATAATCGATTATAACGCGTGGTTATGGGTTCCTGGTGATTTTGGATCTGTAATAATCGATTAACACTCAGTATAATAGATTATTTCAGTCAGACATGCATTTTGAATTTCAAAATTGGACCAAGTTTCGAAAACCCTAGTCTTGTTGAACATACAAGGATTTCATGTTGAACTTACATGGACAAGAAGCTTGTTGATTTTGATGATGATTCAAGAGCGAAGAACTTAGAGAGTTGAAGACTTGTATTATTGTGTAATAACTCTATTTTGATGCGTTTGAGTCTATAATATTAGAGTCTAAGATAGCCGGTACATAGTCTACTCTTTAGAAGCTTCAAAAACTCATATTTATCAAAAAGCCTCGGGTTTAATGGATTAAATCATCAGATAATCGATTATTACAGTGAGAAAAACCATTTTATGTATCTGTTCACTGTAATAATCGATTAACAGGCCAGTTAATCGATTAACATGGCACTTAATTGATTAAAACAGAGAGTTTTGGGATTTTGTTGATTTTGGCTCTGTAATAATCGATTAACACTTCATTTAATCGATTATTTAAGTCAGATTTTGATTTTCAACTTCAAATTAAACCTATTTTCGAAAACCCTAATCCCAATACTCCAAGTTCCGAAAATCCCCAATTCCCAAACCCTAATTCATCTACTTAAGGTTCTCTAAGGCTCTCAGAAAATGGAACAACCTTTTTCAAACAAAAGTTAAGTGCTGTGAGTGCCAGAGAACTGTTTGTTGGAGGAAAAGGGGGCTTTTGGAACCTGGTGTGGGCTAGAAGCAATAAGAATCACTAAGTGGAGTTCTTAGTGGATTGTGTGATGTGCCATCTCTAGGGAAAGCTGTTCTTCATCTCTTGTGGATTTCAAGAGAGGTGTTTTCTTTACTTTATCTTTTCCATTGTTATTTGTTGTAACAACTTTGATTATAGTGACAGCGTTAATCCTCTGTTTGAGTGATTAGCAATTGGACGTAGGGTTTTTTGATCTGAACCAGTATAAATCTCCTGTGTAAGACTCTATCTCTATTCTATTTACGTTTGCACAGTGTTTTAATCGGTAAAATTTGGGAAAAATTTTTAAAACCTAATTTTTGTTAAAGAACCAATTCACCCCCCCCACTCTTGGTTTTTGTCCGACAACGCGAACATTCCGCTGCGCGATTCTAACAAGTGGTATCAAAGCTTGCTTTGATAGTCATTCAAACTTTTCGAAAATGGCCGGACAAAATCAAACTTTTGCCGAAGGTGCGTCTATCAACAGACCCCCACTTTTTGCGAGTCAAAATTATCCTTTCTGGAAAGTTAGAATGCAAATCTTTTTAGAGTCTGTTGATAGAGGCGTTTGGGACGCTATTTTAAACGGTCCCTATATTCCTAAAGTTACTGAGAACGGTGTAGATATTCCTAAACCTTTTTCTAGATGGACAATAGAGGAAAATAGAAAGCTCAATTTGACGTTAGGGCTAGAAATATTATTTCATCTACTTTAACCCTTGACGAGTTTTATAGGATCTTTGTTTGTAAAAGTGCTCAAGAGATGTGGGAAATGCTAAGAGTGACCCACGAAGGTACCGATGACGTTAAGAGAGCACAGAAAAATTCCCTAATCCAATAATACGAGATGTTTAGGATGCAACAAGGCGAAACGATATTTGACATTCAAAAGCGTTTCACTCATATTGTGAACCATCTCACCGGATTAGGTAAAATCTTTGACGTTGATGAATTGAATGTTAAAATCTTAAAATCTTTGGATAGGAAATGGCAACCTAAGGTGACGGCCATCTCGGAGTCACAAAACCTTGCCACAATGTCTATGGCAGCGCTCTTTGGAAAGTTGAGAGAGCATGAGCTAGAGCTAGGAAGACTAAATGAAGAGGAAGGACAATATCAAAAGAAGAACTTAACCTTCAAAACCGAAATTTCCAAAGGTAAGAATAAAAAGGAAGAAGAAGACTCGGAAAATGAAGAAGAAGAATTGAGTCTTATGATAAAGAAGTTTACAAAATTCATGAAAGCTAAAGGAAGACATCCCTTCAAAGATAAATGAAAGGTAAGGGAAAATTCTTCTGTAAATATCAAATGTTATGGTTGTGGTGAAGCAAGACATATGAAGACCGAATGTCCAAACAAGAAAAACAAAGAAATCAAGGGCAAAAAGTTCTTCAAGAAGAAAGCCTACATTGCTTGGGACAACAGTGATTCAAGTTCAGAATCAAGTGAGTCGGAAGTTGAAGCCAATATTTTCTTAATGGCAAATGACAACATATCTTCCGACTTTGAGGTAAGTGATTCCGACTCATCCTCAAGTGATGATGAAAATAACTATGATGAACTGCAAAATGCATACAATGAATTGTTTAGTGCCTTTAAAGACTTGAAAAATGAATATAAAGCTGTGAAAAAGATTTTAAGTAGATCCGAAAAGGAGGTTGACTCATTAAAAACGAAAATCACATGCTTAGAGGAAAAGGAAGCCTTAGAAACGAAAATTGTATGCTTAGACGAGAATGATGATAAGAACATAGCATGTGCATCTTGTAAAGAGTATGAATATGACTTAGATATACTTAACCATTTGTTAGATAAAGCCGAAAAGGAAATAAGTGACTTTAAGAAGGATAAAATTGTTTTAGCTCAAAATAGTGTAAATCATCAAGTTCCTTTGAAAAAGCCTAAAAAGAAAAACAAAAGAGTATGGGTAGAAAATGAAAGTGATGAAGATCTTATTGAATTACGTTGGCAAAAATCTTGTTGATTTGATGAAGTCAAGAATGGAGTCAAAGGCAACTTTGTGGCAGTCAAAGGTCACTTAGATAAAAGAGTAGAGGGATTAGTGTGTCTGCAGCTCTGCTTAGGTATAATCATTTTTATCTTTTCTGCTGCATGAGGTTTCTTCATTTATAAGATTTTGCAAATGCCTCTAAAAAATGTTATAACGGTTAAAAACAAAGTATTTTGATAAAAACTTTCTTAATCAACTATTTTAACTAATAACATATAAGCTTTATCAACTAAAATGTTCTTCACACTTTTATAACAGGTTTTTAACTGATATAACTTCAAAGTAACCGATTGTTTTCATTAAAAGGATTTTTGAAAACCTTTTGTCAGTATTTTAACTGATACAATTTCGAAATAACCGATTAAAATCACTTACAATGTTCAGAGAAGTGTTCTGGCAGTATTTTAATCGATACAACTTCGAAATAATCGATTAAAACCACTTGGAGTACTATATGATCGATCAGAATGAGCATATGACCGATCAGAACCAAATATGATCGATCAGAATTGAGTTATGACCGATCAGAATTATTTTAATCGATTAAAATTGCTTTTCAATCGATTAAAACAACTTAAGAAAATTTCTGCTAAGCGTTAAGGATGGTGAAATAGTTTGGGATGGGGAAGAAGTGAACGAAGGAGAAGAGGTTAAGGAAGAAGAAGAAGAAGTTTTGGGTGGAGAAGAAGTTAAGGGTAAAGAAGAAAGTATGGATGGGGAAGAAGTTTGGGATGGAGAAGAAGTTAACGAGGGAGAAATGATCATGGATGGAGAAGAAGTTAAGGAAGGAGAAGAAATTAGGGATGATGAGGAAGAAAGTAAGGATGGAGAAGAAGAAGTTATGGACGAAGATGATGTTAAGGAAGGAGAAGAAACTAAGGAATGAGAAGAAGTTAGGGAAAGAGAAGAAGTTTGGGATGGAGAAGAAGTTAAGGATGGAGAAGAAGTTTGAGATGGAGGAGAAGTTTAGAATGGAGGAGAAGAATCGAAGTATGGAGAAGAAGTTAAGGAAGAAGAAGTTTAGGAAGGAGAAGAAGTTAAGGAAGAAGAAGTTTTGGATGGAGAAGAAGTTAAGGATAAAGAAGAAAGTATGGATGGGGAAGAAGTTTGGGATGGAGAAGAATCTACTAAGTATGGAGAAGAAATGAAGGAAGAAGAAGTTAAGGAAGGAGAAGAACTTTTGGATGGATAGGATAGGAGATTATAGTTAAGGATGGAGAAGAAACTTGGGATGTAGAATGAAGTTAAGGAAGCAGAAGAAGTTAAGGAGGATGGAGAAGAAGTTAGGGAAGGAGAAAAGGTTAAGAATGAAGTACAAGTTAGGGAAGGAGAAGAAGTTAAGGATGGAGAAATAGTTTGGGATGGGGAAGAAGTGTAGGAAGGAGAAGAGGTTAAGGAAGAAGAATAAGAAGTTTTGGATGGAGAAGAAGTTAAGGAGGGAGAAATGATAATGGATGGAGAAGAAGTTAAGGAAGGAGAAGAAATTAGGGATGATGAGGAAGAAAGTAAGGATGGAGAAGAAGAAGTTATGGACGGAGAAGATGTTAAGGAAGGAGAAGAAACTAAGGAAGGAGAAGTTAGGGATGGAGAAGAAGTTTGGGATGGAAGAGAAGTTTGGAATGGATGAGAAGAATCGAAGTATGGAGAAGAAATTAAGGAAGAAATGAAAGTGATGAAGATATTATTGAATTACGTTGGCAAAGATCTTGTTGATTTGATGAAGTCAAGAATGAAGTCAAAGCCAACTTTGTGGCAGTCAAAGGTCACTTGGATAAAAGAGTAGAAGGATAAGTGTGTCTGCAGCTCTGCTTAGGTATAATCATTTTTATCTTTTCTGCTGCATGAGGTTTCTTCATTTAAAAGATTTTGCAATTGCCTCTAAAAAATGTTTTAACGGTTAAAAACAAAGTATTTTGATAAAAGATTTCTTAATCAACTATTTTAACTAATAGCATATAAGCTTTATCAACTAAAATGTTCTTCACACTTTTATAACAGGTTTTTAACTGATATAACTTCGAAATAACCGATTGTTTTCATTAACAGGATTTTTGAAAACCTTCTGTTAGTATTTTAACTGATACAATTTTGAAATAACCGATTAAAATCACTTAAAATATTCAGGGAAGTGTTCTGGAAGTATTTTAATCGATATAACTTCGAAACAATCGATTAAAACCACTTGGAGTACTGTTTGACTGATCAGAATGAGCATATGACCGATCAGAACCAGATATGATCGATCATAATTGAGTTATGACCGATCAGAATTATTTTAATCGATTAAAACTACGTTTCAATCGATTAAAACAACTTAAGAAAATTTGTGCTAAGCGTTTTAATCGATTAAAACAGATTTTTATCAGTTAAAATCACTTGGAAAAGTTTATAAAAATATTTTGCAGTATTTTAATCGATTGAAACACGAAACAATCGATTAAAACAGTTTAGAAGATTTTTTACAAAGAGTTTTAATTGATATAAACGTTGTCGTATCAGTTAAAACAAATCTGGAAAATAATCGAGAACGTTTTAATGGATTAAAAGAAGATTTAACAGATTAAAACAAGACTTTTAACAGATTAAAAGATTATTTTAACAGATTAATTAAACCAGCAGTTTTGAAAATCTTCTATATAAACAGAGTTGCTTGAACTTTTTATACATCATCTGAAATACATCTTTTGGCAATCAGTCAAGCAATCAAAAGTGCTACTTTCAAGAAAGAATCACGCTAGTTTTTGTGAAGTTCATCAAAGTTCTTTCTTGAGGCAAAATTGCATTATTTTAGAGAAGAAACACATACTACAGAACTGCATAAAACTGGTTTGAGCGTTCTTTGTTTCTTCTGTTTGTTTCTTTACTTTCTTTTACTATATTATGGGTGCCTAGAATTGTGGGCACTGGTTTCTGTAGCTGGAATTTGGCTACAGGGTAGGTCAAGAACTGGAATTTGGTTCTTGGTGAAAGGTTAGGTGCAGGAACTGGAATTGTGGTTCTTGTGGTAGATTGAGTGTGTGATTAAGGTTGTAATCTGTAAAACATTCAATCTAGTGGAACCCAGCTGGAATTTGGCTGGAGACTGGACGTAGCCCTGGGATTGGGTGAACCAGTATAAACTTTGGTGATATCTTTCTAAACCTTTCTCTTCTTTAATTTTGTGACTGCATTTATTTTTTTATTGCTTGCTGTGTATGATTCAAGAACTGGTCAGATTTCTTAATCTTTGAAATAGATAATCTGTTAATTGCGAAAATCTTTCAAAGATCAATTCACCCCCCTCTTGATCTCAGCCTACTTTTCTAACAGAAAAAGGAACTAGAGCATCTATTGTTTGAAATGCATCTTATTCTAAAGCTACATCTAAAACATGTTTTTACTGTATGAAACAAGGTCACACTTCAAATAGATGTAAAATAAAACATTTTGGTGTTCCTAAAGGAAATACATTTGGGTTCCTATTGTTAAATAATGTGTTTATCTCTAACCCCAAGGACCCAAAAGTTATGGGGACCTAAGTTTACTATGTTCTTGTTTTGTAGGAAACTTCCAAATCAAAGAAGTCTATGTGGTATCTTGATAGCGGATGCTCAAAGCATATGACCGGTGATATAACAAAATTTGTGAGTTTCAAAGCTAAAGAACAAGGATATGTAACTTATGTGGACAACAACAAAGGGAAAATTCTTGGAATTGGAAATATAGGTGGTGCAAACACTTTGGAGATTAAGGATGTGCTTCTTGTTGATGGGCTAAAGCATAATCTCCTTAGTATAAGTCAACTATGTGACAAAGGATTTAAGGTAATATTTGAAAGTAAATTTTGCACAATACATTTGATAGATATTGAAAATGTAGCATTAAAAGGCATTAGGCATAATAACATATACTTGATTGATTTGGATTGTTTACATGATTCTAGTATAACATGCTTAGTTGCTAAGGAAGAGAACCCTTGGTTATGGCATAAGAGAGCAGCTCATATAAATATGCATCATTTAAATAAATTGATATCAAAAGACTTAGTTGTTGGTTTGCCTAAGTTAAAGTTTGAAAAAGATAGGTTATGTGATGCATGTCAAAAAGGTAAACAAGTAAAATCATCATTTAAATCAAAGAATGTTATTTCCACTTCAAAACCCCTATAATTATTACATTTAGACTTATTTGGTCCTTCTAGGATAAAAAGCTTTGGTGGAAATTATTATGGTCTTGTAATTGTTGATGATTATTCTAGATATACTTGGACATTTTTCTTAACAATGAAAAGTGAAGCTTTTAAGGTCTTTAGAAAGTTTGCAAAGCAAATTCAAAATGAGAAAGACTTAAGAATTAAAGTTTTAAGAAAGGACCATGGTGGTGAGTTTCAAAATGAAAAGTTTGAAAATTATTGTGAGGAAAATGGAATATTGCATAACTTTTCTGATCCTAGGACTCCCCAACAAAATGGTGTAGTTGAAAGGAAAAATAGGTCACTAGAGGAACTTGCTAGAACAATGTTAAATGAATCAAATGTTCCTAAATACTTTTGGGCTTATGCGGTTAGTACTGCTTGTTATGTTTTAAATAGAATGCTCATTAGGTCAATTATAAAATCAACTCCCTATGAATTATTAAATGGTAGAAAGCCTAATGTTGCTCATTTGAAAATATTTGGATGTAAGTGCTTTGTGTTAAATAATGGAAAAGACAACTTAGGAAAATTTGACTCAAAAGCCGATGAGGGCATTTTCTTAGGTTATTCATTAACTAGCAAGGCTTACAGGGTGTTTAATAGAAGAACCTTAAATATTGAAGAATCTATTCATGTTACTTTTGATGAAATTGTAGACCTTGGGGGAAATCCTCTTGAGTCAAATAAAGAACTTGCAGGTGATGATGAGTATATAAGAGAGGCTCTTGATGAATTATATTTGGAAGAAAATGAGCCTTCTCAAACACTTGAATTAGCAAAAGAATGGCAATCACCAAGAGGACTCTCAATGGACAATATCATTGGTGATATCTCAAAAGGGGTAAGAACTAGAAATATGACTAATTTATGCATGTTTGTAGCTTTTGTGTCACAGATAGAACCCAAAAATGTTAGGGAACGCGCTTAAAGATGACAAATGGTGCATAACTATGCAAGAGGAACTTAACCAATTTGAAAGGAATCAAGTCTGGGAATTAATCCCAAGAGAAGAATCACATCAAGTAATTGGAACTAAATGGGTATTTAGAAATAAACTTGATGAAGATGGAAACATAACAAAGAATAAAGCCAGACTCGTTGCCAAAGGCTACTGTCAGGAGGAAGGTATTGATTATGATGAAACTCATGCTCCTGTTGCCAGGTTAGAGGCTATACGCCTACTTCTTGCTTATGCATCTTTGATGAAATTTAAATTATATCAAATGGATGTTAAAAGTGCACTTTTGAAAGTTTTTATTAAAGAAGAAGTATATGTGGAGCAACCCCCTAGATTTGAAGATTTTAGTTATCCTAATCATATTTTTAAATTAAAGAAAGCATTACATGGGTTGAAACAAGCTCCTAGGTCTTGGTATGAAAGACTAAGTAGTTTTCTAACTTCAAATGATTTTTCTAGAGGAAAAATTGATTCTACTTTGTTTATAAAGAAAGTAAAAGAACATATCTTATTGGTCCAGGTATATGTTGATGATATTATTTTTGGATCAACTGATAATTCTTTGTGTGTAGAATTTGCTAAGATAATGCAGGGAGAGTTTGAAATGTCTATGATGGGGGAATTAACATTCTTCCTTGGACTTCAAATCAAGCAACTTACAGATGGTATCTTTGTCTCTCAAACAAAATACTGCAAAGAGATACTAAAAAAGTTTGGAATTGACACCTCAAAGGAAGCTAACACACCCATGGGAACTTCATGCTATTTAGACAAGGATGAATCAGGTTTGGAAATTAATCAATCTATGTATAGAAGTATGATAGGTTCTCTGTTATACTTAACTGCAAGTAGACCTGATATTATGCATTATGTCTGTGTGTGTGCTAGATCTCAGGCTTGTCCAAAAGAATCTCACTTAACTACAGTAAAACGTATTTTAAAATATTTAAAAGGAACTACTAGTTTTGGTTTATGGTATCCATCTGAAGCTTGTACTAGTTTAATAGGTTATTCTGATGCTGATTATGGTGGATGCAAAATAGATAGAAAGAGTACTAGTGGGACATGTCATTTGTTAGGTTCATCTTTAGTATCTTGGCATTCTAAGAAACAGGCATGTGTTGCTTTATCCACCACTGAAGCTGAATATATTGCAGCTGGTAATTGTTGTGCTCAAATTTTGTGGATAAAACAACAGCTAGAAGATTATAGTATATTTCTAAATGACATTCCTTTGATGTGTGATAATACGAGTGCAATCAATCTTACTAAGAATCCAGTAATGCACTCTAGGACTAAGCATATAGAAATTAGACATCATTTTTTGAGAGATCATATAAGCAAAGGAAACTGTAAAATTGAGTATGTTGATACAAAGCATCAATTAGCAGATATTTTTACTAAGCCTCTACCCAAGGATAGATTCTATGATCTTAGAAGAGACTTAGGGATATTAGAAATAGCGTAAATTCTGCTTAATTAGACAGTTTTTAATATTGTTTTTTATTTCTTGTGTTGTAATGTACTTTCACTTA